TTTTTTTTGTTGAAGATATTTTTACTTTAATCTAAATTACATTTGTGATTGACAATCTTTGCTGTGATACTTTTATGAGCATAAACATTGGGTTGAAAACAAAATAGGCCACCACAAACGTGAGCAAAAATGGAAAAAATAAAATGTATTTCCCATGAAGGCTAAAAATGGTGTATTATTTCAGTTAACAAACTTTGCCATCTTATTTAAATTGAAACATTTTAAAATAAATTGTACAGTACATTTTGCTCTGGTAATCCACTGGAAATCCCCCCCTTTGATGGGATCAGGATAATCCAGTTTTTTGGGATCAAACTGATCCCAATCCTGTGTTGTCTGTTTGAACTACCCATTTTGAAGATTTGATCCAGATTAAAGCTTGGATTGGATTTCCTGGTCTGATCGGATATGAAAGTGATCCTAATCCTGTTTTTTGGTTTTGAACTCCCCAAAATCCAAATCTGATCTGATCAGATAGGGATTCAAAGTTTTGAACTCCTGGGCCCAGGTCTCTCGAATTCACTTTTTTATACCATCTGTTATCCTCTCCATCCTCTCTCAGGTACATCATGCGTCAGCGGGGTCAGGTGGAGGCAGGGGGGGTCAGCGTCCAGCCTGAAGCCCCCATGCACCTGGCTGTGGTGGCCTGTGGGGAGAGGCTGGAGGAGACCCTCACCATGATCAAGTCCGCTGTGCTCTTCAGCATCAAACACCTCCAGCTGCACATCTTCGCTGAGGATCAGCTGCACACCAGTTTCATGGAAGCTGTGAGTTCAAACGTAAAGCTTTATTATTATAAAACTAAATGAATAGTGCAAGAAGAAACAGAGTAGGAATGAAATAGTGCAAGAGAGAGAATGTTGCAAGACAAATAGCATAACATGACTTAGGAAAATGTAAAATGAAATGCTTTAGAGTGAAATGCTTATCGTACTAATAGATCAATATGTGAGATGCAAACAGACGGTGTGCAAATCTTAAGAAAATTAAAGTCTGAAAATGGCATGCTGAGTTTGTACTTACCCTTTATGTCGTCTGTCTTCCAGCTGCAGTCGTGGCCAGGTTTCATTCGCTCCAGGTTCAACTACACAGTGTACTCCATCAGCTTCCCCAGTGAGAACGCAGCCGAGTGGAAGAAGCTCTTCAAACCCTGCGCTTCCCAGAGGCTCTTCTTACCTGTGAGTTTCTGATCAAAAGCATGAAAACCACAGTGGAAATCTGACGTCATTATGACATTCCCAATATGTTCTTATAACAACACATTAAAGGTCTGAAAAACTTGGAGCACTATGAATAGAAAAATGTGTTTTAAATCCTCAAATAAAATTGGGATTGACAGCTATACTCGCCTGTGCTATAGCTCCTAGAACAAAAACATTTTTCTCAGCTATAGTCCTACACATTCTTAGATATAATGTAACTGAATAAAAACTATTAATCAACAAACCAAAACACATAAATTGTCACAATTCAATATACTCTGGTCAATAAGCACCACTGCAGACTGTATTCACATAATTAGTCTCCTCAGTGACATCCCTCTGTGTGTCTGTTCCAATCTGTGCAGCTGATCCTAAAGGACATAGACTCCGTGGTGTACGTGGACTCGGACATCCTCTTCCTGCAGCCCGTGGACCGCCTTTGGGCCTTCCTGACCCGCTTTAACTCCTCCCAGCTGGCTGCCATGGCCCCTGAGCACGAGGAGCCCCGCATCGCCTGGTACAACCGCTTCGCCCGCCACCCCTACTACGGCAAGACGGGCATCAACTCAGGGGTCATGCTCATGAACATGACCAGGATGAGGAGCATGTTCTTCAAGGTGGGGCTCAAGATGGATTTTCAAGAAGAGATTTGTTCCTGTGCTTCTTTGTTTGGCCACTAGATGTCCTTCTCCTGCTGTGAAAGCATTTAATGTGAGGCCTTCACTTACCATGGCATTATGATCACACACTAAAGAACTATTTTAATTGATGTGCAGTGAGGCGGCTGGAACTGCGGCAACAAAAACTCAATTTATAATGAACGGCAGCTCTGATCAATGTTGACTATTATTGTTCAAGTCTGTTCATAGTTTCTTTTCCACAGTCCTTCAACAATGCCAGAGCAGCACATACCATGTTCCTGTTACGGCCCATCTACACTACAGGCATAAAAAATCTTGAAGCTGGGCGTGTCTGAGGCTTGGCGATTTCTCGCGCCCAAGGCGACCAACAACCAATCAGGAATCTCCCGCCCGCCCCCGGCATACAAAGCAAAAAAAAGCCCGCTTCTTCAACGAGTA